AAAAAAACTTGTCATGCTATTGTGTAACGTTTGTTTATTAGTTGATATGAAGCATTAACACGCGGATTTTTCAGAATGTAAACAATACAGTCCTTCCGCGTAACCAGCAACCCTCGAGAGGCGTGCTGTTATGTCTTTACAAGCAAACGGCTGTCCTCTCGAATTCTTTGGTGTTCACTTGGCAACGTTACCTCAAATAGCCCGTCGTAGCTCTTTTGACGAACCAATAAGAATGTCTTCTCTTTTTCACCTTCCAACTTGGGTCCTTTGAGGCTCTAATAAACAAAAAAAAAAAAGATAATATAGAGAAGATAGAAAGAGCCTCACCTGAGCGGCCTCACCTGAGCGGCCACGTCAAAGCCGCGATGATGCATATATGTATATAATGTCTATGTTGAAATTTTAATAATGTCTTTGCATATATATAAATTCTAAGACATGAAATTTATGATTTTTAATTGAGATTGAAACAAGAAAAGAAACAAGGAATCTTTTATTTGCGATAGAAAAAACCTTGTACGTTTATTTATTTATTTTATTTTATTTTATTTTATTTTATTTTGCTATTCCTCTTAACATAACTCGTTATTGTTGGTATCGTCATTTTTGAATTTTGGAATTGAGTAACGAGCTCACTTTCGTCAGATCGCAAGGTAGCAATAATCGAAAAGAATTTTCATGTTAAGAAGAAATTATATAAATCCAAAAGAAGCATAAATTAAACGAAGCCGAATATACGAATTCGTTTTGTTATACTCAAGACGATTTAACCTTTTATTTACAAAACGGTATTTAACATTGTGAAGCAATGTCTAGCCTTGTTTAATCACAGCGCATAGCGTTTGATTTTTCTTTTTAAAGGAAAACATTTAGCATTTAGCATTTAGTACTTAGTACTTAGTATTAGTACTTAGCATTTAACGGTTATTATTTGATTTTTTAAATAACAGCATTTCAAATAAAGAGGATCACATCATTCTCAACTATATAATGAATTTTATTTGTCACTATTGTTATTGTTATTATAATCGATACTGTAATGTTTTTTTGCAATTATCGTTAATAAATGAATTATAACATGTATAGTACTGTAAGTCGATAACATTTTATAATTAACGTTTATATTGCATAAAATTTTTAGAGATTACAGCATAACATTTATACAATCGTTGGCGACCTGAACAAAACTAGCGTGTTATATAAGTTATTACGTTAAATTCTTTTACTTTTTAATGCAAAATAAATAATAACAATTAGCGTTTCTTTTAGATAAAAGCTTCAACTAACCTGAATGATAATGTTTATTAGTTTTACAAAGAAATTTTTCGATTAACCAATAAAAACAAACTTCAACTATGCTACCATCTAACCTATGAAAAGCTGCGAATACCCTTTTGAAACCAATAAAAGTTTGGATTGCATAGTTTAAACAGATTACAAACCAAATAGAAAGTTTTAGAATACTCAAAAGTAGCTTTCATCTAAATTCCGAATTACCTCACCGATTACTGAATTACTTTAACGTCTTGTAGAGCAGAAGGTATTGGTATGAATACTTTCTAAATTTTTATACCGCAACCTCAGCGAATTCGTATTCGTGACTGCGAATCCATTCTCGTGACAAAAAAAAAACCATACTTTAATAAGACTTTATGACGAGATAATCTACAAAAATTTCGGTTTAGTTTATGATCGCTCATTATAATGAACATCTATAATGAACCATGGAACAATCAAAGCTTGATCATTTACGATTTAGAAGAAGTTTATGAAATCAGATCCTGATTGGATCCGAATATTAGGGATGTTGTGTGGTCTGGTCTTAGACTAATAGACCACAGTTGGTCTTAAGACCGGCCCGGACCTGAAAAAAATTGGTTCGCTCTAGGTCTTAAGACCAGACCAGTCTGAACCGGTCTGGACCAACATGATCCTAAAGCTGTAGACCATAATAGATCAGACCAGACTAGACCAATATAGACTAGGTTGGATCAGACCGGACTGCTAACATCTCTACCGAAATTTCCGAATCCTATCTTGGATTTCATAGAAAGACTTTTTATATG